AGAGGACAGGCTGTGCTCCCACTGCCAACAGGGAGAAGCAGACAGAGATGCACTTTCTACTGCACTGTGACAGATACTCTGGGATTAGAGAAACATTCTTCTCTAAAATAACAAATCTTATCCTAGAATTCCCACTCCTGCCAGAATAAGAACTGTTTCTAATCCTACTGGAGGAGGAAACTCAACAGAGCTGCAGCCCAGTAGGTGATCTCCTGTCATGGCCTGAGGGACATTGAGACTGTCTCTCAGTAATGCTCCATTTGTTTGGGTGAAGATTTATGATGATGTGTCTATATTGTAAATGTCTGTAAAAATGTCTGTTGTGATAATTGTATCTGTTTTGGTAACACTGTAATTCATCGATCGGTCTTGCCAATAAAGCTCTCTGAATCTGAATTTCTATCCACGGGAAGGGGGAGCGGGCAGAAGAGGTGTGAAACGCTCCCATCTGTAAAGGAATTGAGAGGTTTCTAAAGAAATTAGTCTGTTGTTAAGAAAAGGGGGAAGGTGTGGTCCAAGTTTCGGGATAATCTTGGCTTCAGACGTTCCTCTCGAAAAGGAACCCTGAAATCTCTGTAAAAGGACACGTCGTTTCTCCTCTCTGTTTTTCAGAACGAAATGAACCTTTACTTGTCCCTGCGCAGCCAGCGTACACTGACGCAGCTCCCTGCGCAGCCAGCGTACACTGACGCAGCTCCCTGCGCAGTCAGCGTACACTGACGCAGCTCCCTGCGCAGCCAGCGTACACTGACGCAGCTCCCTGCTCGAACACTCGAGCCGCTGTCCCAGCCCGCTGGCAGTGGGGAGGGAGGTGTCTGGCTTCAGGCCTGGGCTCACCTGTGGAGAGGTTTAGTGCAAGAAGGTCTTCCCAGGGTTTCACAGATAATTAGAAAGTTGAAAAACCAGAAGGTTATTCTGCCAGTCTAGCTCATGTGGTAGGTTGCAGGTAATGAGGATCACATTTGACCCCTTCTGGGAGTAAACCAATGTATTTGCTTGTGCATATTAATACACTTGCCCTTAACATTGTCATCTAATTCAGGCTTCACTTATTTGGAAGTCCGTTGTGTTGAGTGTAATAGATTTGAGGATTTAGAATACGTGAAATACACGATTCGTACCTTACTTTAGTCAAAAGTCAATCCGTCATCTTATCCAACCATTCGTAGCCGCTTTAACCTATACAGTGTTGCTGGGGAGCTCTCTTGACAAGGCAGGTGGGGTACACCTTAGAAAGGACGCCGGTCCATCGCTGGGCACACAGGTACTCGCGCACGTACACCAGGGCCAGTTTTCCCAGAAGCCAAGTCTTCTGCCAGCATGTCACTGGACTGTGGGACGAAACCAGAGCACCCTGTGGAAACTCACATGTACATGGAGAAACCATGCAAACTCCACACAGAGAGGACCCCAGGAATTAAACCCAGGGCTCCAACACTGTGAAGCAGCAGTGCTCACCACTGTACCGCCACATTTTCTATTCCAGATGCTGAAAAATGTTTTCCTGTATATACAAAGACAATACAATTCAAAAGCAAATTCAAGTTTGATACTTAATTATAATTGATGGGTTGTGATTGATCAGTAGGGCAAAATCAACATTTCTTTCCTTTCTGTTTTGCTGGAGTTCTCCCATTTCAGGGACCATCAGTAGTCTGCCACGATTGTGATGTCCCTTGGGATCCTTTTCCATGATCCTGATATCCTGGTGGAATCTTTCCCCTTTAAATAGTCCTCATGTGAGAGAAGAAAATGATCTTTTAGGCTCTTGTTGCAGCCCAGGTGTTCAATTTTGCTGAACACTCCACTGATAATGTCCCTGTAGTTGGGATCTTTGTTTTCCCGGAAAACTGCTCATCCTGTGTCAGCAAAAGATTTGCCGCCTTTGACTTTTTTCATAGCTGAGTGTTACTACAAATGAATTTGAAGCTGCTTTCCCACTGTGCTGTATCTCTTGTCCTTATCTAATGCTTTGACCAGTATCCAGTCCAGCTTTGTATGCAGTTGTGGTATCAAAACCTTGTTAGGCCTAATCAGATTTTCATGGATGATGTTAATTGAATCTGGTGTAATTGTGTTCCTGGGTGGCCTTATCTAATTTTCCCGGTTTTGCTTTCTCCTTGACTGTCCTTTTTGAACACAAAGCCAAGAACTATTTTCATGTACAGAGCATTGCAGTTGTAAATCCAGGCAGCGTTCCTTGATAATGCAACTTATAGCAAAATGACTTAAAAAGCGTAGTTAATAGAGGAGTATTGTATTAAGCTTGGTATGTTCCCAACTTGCAGTTCAGACACATATACAGTATATGCATATAACGTTCCTATAACCCATAACGAACAATACATAGAAATAGATAAGACAAGTACTGTATATTGAGGGCAGCAGTAGTTTGCATTGCTGCCTTGCAGTTCTGGGTCCCTGGGTTCAGTTCTGCTGTCTGTGTGGAGTTTGTGTGTTCTCTTCTCCCACAGTCCAAAGACACGCTGGTAGGATTATAGGCTTCTGGGAAACTCGGCCCTGGTGTGTGCCCTATGATGATAATAAT